TTTTTTTGGTGGGGGGGGGAGGCTGTCCTGGCCAAATAACCCCAGCTGATAGGATGAAACTAGTATTTGGGAAAGAGTCAGACGATGGTGGTCAGGAGGACGAGCTTGGGGTGGATTAGACTAGAAGGCAGGGAAGCAGCAGACGCTGGCTTCTGCAGCGACCCAGAGTTCAAGACTGGCTGAGACAAGGTTGTGGACACAGCAAGGGGGAAGTCTGAGGGATTTTTCAAATGAGGGAACAAGGGACAAATGGCAACAAAGAGTCAAAGATGGCTTTCAAGCCTCTAGCCTGAACCACTGAAGAGAGGGACTCTCTTCACAGAGAGAAAGTGAATAGGGCAGAGATTTTGGAAGGAGTCTATTTCTGTCCTCCTGACCCTGAGATTACAATATATCCAAGGAATGAAGTCTGTCCTATAGACCAGTTGTGACACACACACACACACACACACTCTCTCTCTCTCTCTCTCTCTCCCAGTTCCTGGCACCACGCTCCTAAAACTCTTGTAATTTCTTAAGTGATAAGAGCATCAGGGACGTTTCTTGTTCTAAAATTTGCCTTTGGCCCTGATTCCTAACGCAGGGCTCCTGAAGCCTTTGTGAATTCCTAAGTGATAAATGAATATCGGGAGCATCTTGGGTCCAGGGAGGCAACTCTGGGCGGGCTCCTGGATGAGGGCTGGTCCCCAGAAAGGCTGAGCCGTGTTTAGAAAATTGGCATTTTCAGGGGCGCCTGGGTGGCTTAGTTGGTTAAGCTTCTGACTTTCGCTTAGGTCATGATCTCACGGTTCGTGGGTTCGAGCCCCGCGTTGGGCTCTGTGCTGACTGCCAGCTCAGAGCCTGGAGCCTGTTTCAGAGTCTGTGACTCCCTCTCTCTCTGACCCTCCCCTACTCATGCTGTCTCTCTCCTAGAAATAAATAAAACATTTAAAAAAAAATTTTAAAAAAAAAAAAAAAGGGGCAGAGCTGGCATTCAAACTCAGAGCTCACTCCTGTTCTGTGCTGCTGGCATAACAGNGCTCAGAGCCTGGAGCCTGTTTCAGAGTCTGTGACTCCCTCTCTCTCTGACCCTCCCCTACTCATGCTGTCTCTCTCCTAGAAATAAATAAAAAAAAAAAAACATTAAAAAAAATTAAAAAAAAAAAAAAAAGAAAGAAAATTGGCATTTTCAGCCTCGTCGCCCCCTTTCTTCGGAGAGGGGAGGGTCTGGAGATGGAGCTGATACTTGACCGTGGCGAGGTGAGAAAGCATCCGTGAAATCCCAAGCGTGTGGCATTCCAAGCGCTGCCAGACTGGCAAACGCATGCACTCCAGAGGGTGACACACCTCGGCTCCGCGGGGGCAGACGCTTCTGCACCCAGGACCTTCCCACACCTCGCCCTAGGTATCTCTTCATCATCTGCATCCTTGATCGTGTCCTGTAGTCAACTGGGACACTTACATGTTTCCCTGGGTTCTGTGATACACTCCAGCAAATTACTTAAAGCCAAGGAAGGGGCCGCAGGAACCTCTGTTTTGTACCTATGCCAGACAGAAGTCGTGGGAGCCCAGGGGGCCTGCTACTTGCGACTGGCATCTGAGGCAGGAGGGGGGGAGGGGCGGGCTGGTGGATGGAGCCCTTCCCTGGTGGGCTCTGACACTGTCCCCAGGGAGGTGGCGTGGGACACCCAGCTGCCACCCTCCATGGCATGGCGCAAGGAAAACCTCACGCTCCTGGTGACCAGCAGCTGAATCAGAAGTGAGGTGCCCTGTGTGAGCAGCACAGCAGAAACAGATGGAGAACAGAGTTTTTCCCAAACAGCGGTATTCTCCAATCCCCTCCACCCCCACAATAGTATGTTTTACATAGGCCAACTCACATAAACACAGAGGGACATAACACAGGTCTAAGGGTCCCCAAACTCCTGCAGACACAGTGCCCAGAATACTGAGAGGGAGGAAAGGCCGAGGCGTGTAGGCACCACCAAATGGGTGGATTAAGGGGTGAGCATGAATGACTTCTCATGCCTCAGCTGCCTGAGGTCCTGCGGTCTATGATCTGACAACCAACACCTTGTCAGGAAATTAATTATCCTGTCACCGTCTAGCCTCAGCCCCATGTCCCAGAAGTCTCCCGGGGAAGACAGATTCCAGAAGAAAGGCCAGACCCGTTTTAGAGTTCTCGCCGCCAACCTGCAGAGCGCGGGGAGCTAGAGATGAGTCACCTGTAAAACACATGTCCTTTGTCCGCAGCCCGGAGGAAGGGGGTCTGGAGAGTATTTAGGTCTCCAACTTTGAGTTTCAAGGCCATGGTGCTTAGAACTGGGGCGGAAAAGATAGGACACAGTTTCTCCTTGTAAAACGAGAGTGCTAAATCGAAGCATGGAAAAGAGGCCAAGGGCCCTAGGCTAACATCTGCTGTTGGGTCAGAGCCTGAACAAGCAGGGCTTGGCTCAGAGGAATGAGGGAGCCCAGGGGATTATTAGGAGCCCCACATAAAGCAGCAACACATATCAAAGGGTTCATTAAAGAGGGAAAGCTGCTTTGGTACCCCAGGGGACATCACCCTCTTCAGTCAAATTAAGTTGCTTTCAGCCATATCATAGCAGAGCATCTTTCCAGGGTAAATCTTAGACCGTTTCGTAGTGAAAGATTCTTCTGAAAAAAAAATTTTAATGTTCATTATTTATTTTTGAGAGAGAGATGGAGTGCAAGCGGCGGGGGGGGGGGAGGGGGGGGCCGGGAGGAGAGAGAGAGGGACACAGATCTGAGGCAGGCTCCAGGCTCCGAGCTGTGAGCACAGAACCACGAGATCGTGACCTGAGCTGAAGTCAGACGCTTAACCGACTGAGCTACCCAGGTGCCCCAAAAGAGTCTTTTAAAGAGAGATGAAAGTGTGCAAATCAACTTTGGGCTTTAGAAATTTAGTTTTAGGGGTGCCTGGGTGGCTTACCGTTTAACTGTCTGACTCTTCATTTCGGCCCAGGTCAACGATCTCAAGGTTCCTGAGTTTGAGCCCCACAATGGGCTCTGCTTTGACATCGCGGAGCCTGCTTGGGATTCTGAAATGAATTTTAAAAGTAAACTTAATAAAAAAAAGAAAAAAAGAAACTTACCTGTTAAAATTGCTGTGGGCAGGGGGATGGGGGAAATAGCAGATGGGGATTAAGGAGAGCACTCCTTATGATGAGTTCCGGGTTTTGTAGGGAAGTGTTGAATTACTATTGTACACCTGAAACTAATATTACACTGTTCACTAACTGGAATTTCAATAAAAACTGTAACTAACTGGGGCGCCTGGGTGGCTCAGTTGGTAGATCATCTGACTTGGGCCCAGGTCATGATTTCATGGTTTGTGAGTTCGAGCCCCACGTCGGGCTCTGTGCTGACAGCTGCTTCGGATTCTGTGTCTCTCTTTCTCTCTGCCCCTCCCCGGCTCACACATACTCTTTCTCAGAAGTAAATAAGCACTAAAAATAAACAAATAAATAAAAACTTAAAAAAACCCACCTCTAACTAGAGTTAGAGTTGCCATGCATCTCTTGGTGGAAATGCCTCTCAGACTCCTCTGTTTGCAGAGGCGGCACATGGAGGGAGGCGGGAGCAGGGGCCCTTGTTCAGGAGGTGGGGAGAGCTCCGAGGTTCAGGCAGGAAGCTGGTGCCGACGGCTGCATGTCCGGGCAGCGCTTAGCACCAGCTCAAAGACACAGGCCTTCGTGGCAAAGGTCCCAGGCAGGCCGACTCCATCCTGCCTCCTGGAGACACTGGAGCAGCACAGAGCTGGCTTACAAGTAGCAGCAGAACAGGAGTCAGCAGGCTCGGGGCTTTGTCTTCTCCTGCAGTCCCTGCGCTCCAGTGAAAAGGTCGCTAAGATAGAAATAGTTCCCTCCACTACTTGCTCTTCCTGTGGACCCTCCTTATTAGGCTTTGGAACAACCCCCTCCCCCCCGAGATGATACCACTTAGACCATGGCCAACACACGGCAGGGGCATGTTGCTGTCCAAGGACTCTTAGAGCCCCAGTTCTAGTCCCCAGGCCCACTTCATCATCTCCAGCCCAAGTCTCTGCTCACCCCACCAAGCCCGCGGGGCCTGGGCCGAGAGCCTCCCTTTCCTGTGTGGCAGGCGGCACACTCACCCCTGCCTTCCAGCCTTGCAAGTCTCGGCGCCTGAGAGCAGCCCCACCCCGCGTCCACCCTCCTCGGTGTGTGAACAGGCAGTCTACGTACACCCCTGCCGAGTGAAGCTGCCAAAGGCAGGCGAGAGCCCGGGGCTGCCAGTAGGCCACCCTGGGTCTGGGACGGAAGGCTTCCAATGTACTCGGAAACCTGGGGTGTGGATTAGCTGACGAGCAGAAAGGCGAAGGCACATCTCAAGAGAAAACTTTCCATTCTTTCCACTGAAGGAGAAAGAGAAGCTAGAAGTGGGGACTGAGGGGGCTGCATTTCCAGTTGTTTCCGTCCAGAAAAGATTCATGTAAATTCAGCTCTGCCCCAGGGGGTTCTACACTCAACTGCATTCTTAGCATAAAGGGAAAAAAAAAAAGACCCCTGCACTAATTGAACCAGAGAGAGCCCAGAGCAAGCCAGAAGCCCTCAGACAGCTGCCGTCAGCACTTCCAGCGTGCCTGTCATTTCTGCAACGGACCTGGGCTTGCTTCCCTCCCTCCGGTGGCGGCTGGCGAATCTCCGAGTAGTGTCAGGGCCTCCGCTGTGATCAGCTCTTCTCCAGTCAAGGAGGACACACACCAGCCAAGCCCAGGGGGCCCCGCGAGGCCACCACTCCAGGCAGGGCCAAAGTTAAGGGCCACCTCCTACGATGAGGACCCAGACTGTGATGCTGAGCGGCTTAAGAGGGACGTTCTAACTCCTCTGACTGCCCCAAAGTCCTTCAGTGTTTGGACCGCCTACACCACACCTTCCGGATGTGGACAGCAGGGTGCCCCTCCTTAACGGGCACTAAAATCATGTTCTTTCACCCTTCCCGAAAAGCGTTGGGGGGAGGGGGAACAGACCAGCAGCTCCAAGAGACACAGAACATATTTTATTAAATCCACCACACAACCCATATGCCGCCTGGGAAGAAAACGTCAGAACTGGAAGGGCCCATGACGTCCATCTGGTCTGACCCCCTGGTTTTATGACCGAGGAGAGTGAGCAAACAACCCGTGGATGGTGCCGGTGCACCGGCCTGGTCCTGATGCGCAGAAACACACGGGAGGTCAGGCTTCTGGGCTGGAGCCGGGTCAAACCTAAAGACTTGGTTTGTGGTTACCTTTCATGTTTCTGTGCCCTAAGGGACTATGTCCTGAGGCTTATCCCCTTCGTGAGGAAAACGTGGTGAGTGTTAGGGTCTTTCAGGGCAGGCAAATGGACCAATTGTGGAGCAGAGGGTGCAGACAGTTTAGGGGAAGAGTTCAATCCCTCCCCACAAGAGTTCCGATCATCCTTTCTCCCAAAGGACATGAAGACCCCAACGCCTCAGGGCAAACACGCTTGCCTTTCTGAGGTTGGATCCGTCTGGAGGAAGGAGGGAAAGAAGTTGGTAGAAGAAAAAAGAGGAAAAGATGGCATTCTGAAATTAACAAGGTCAGGGGAACACATTTTCCCCAGCGTGGAACAAATCCGAACACCGCAAGAGAAGGCTGTAAACCTCTGGTATTAAATCAATTGTGAGATGTAGAGGGAAAAACACCAATAACTTAGCAAAATAAATACAATGAGAGTTTCGCTGAGATGGCTATAACCCAGTGAAAACAGTTTTTAGGCTCTTGAGTCCAGAAGACGGAGGTCTCCCTTGTGCTGCATCCTCGGCAAAAGCCCTAAGCCCTGCTGGAGTCTTCCCCGCGGACAGAAGTCACTTGTAGCTCTCTGCAGCCCTACAGAATCTTTCCACCAAAAGCCATTCCAGGAAGGTACATTTCCTTCTCTTGGGAAGACGAGGTTCGCGGGCTCTGCCCCGGCCATGATGGGCCGCCTTTGTCCGTCTGTAGGAGGCCCAGGCCAGCAGGGGCTGAGGAGAGGAGCCACCAGTGTGTGGCTAAGAACGGAGCCGTGTTCGCACAGGGAACGGAGTCCCCCAGGACATCCTCCAGGCACAGTGGACACCGGGGCCTCCGGCTTCGAGCACTGAGGCAACTCTGGTCGCCTCCTCTGGGCCAATAAGGGCCCGGACTCCGGGGCCAGCTGCCCCCCAGTCCACAAGAGTAGGGAGGTCCTGCTACAGAGACGTACTAACTACAGGGATAAGGACACTGCCCTGGCTCTCGCCAGCAGGAGAGCGTCCTCCAAAGGGGCTGCAGGGTCCCGCAGAGGCGCTCATCCTCTGTCCGCCCAGCGTCCAGGGGTCAGAGTCTAGAAATGGAGGGACACCTCAACTGGCCCCAAGGCTCGAGTGCAGCCAGGGGTCAGTCAGGAAGTCAAGGTTGGGGCTGACGGCCTACGGGGCAGGTGGGCTTCTCCGCAGGTGAGAGGCAGCAGCGACGGCAGCTTCGGGCTCCTTCCACTCATGTCTCAACCACTCGGATGAGAGGCCTGGGCTTGTTGGGGCTGGGGGGTTTGGATATCCTCACGCTGAAAGACAGTAGGAGACACTGGGCGCCTCCTGTCACCCGTCCTGCACACAGCCACCCCCCACGTTCGCCCCTGGGGTTCCACACTTCAGGGCTGGCTGATGTCTTCTTGCTTCTCATGCTTTGAAATGGTAACTGTCAGCGACATCCAAGAGAGAAGAGGGGGAGTGTACGGCTGCTTGGGGCAGGGGTGAGGAGAAAACAGGGAGCATTCTAACAGCTGAGGAGTGGGTGTAGCTGTGAGTCTTGTTTTTTCCAAAGTCTGCGATCTTTTTGTGAATCTCCTGGAAACAAAGTCCCTCTCCCTGGAAATAAGTACTTACTACATACTCATGACCTTGACAAACAGTTTCAGGGGTCTGTACGCCTCTAGAGGCCATTCATGGACCTCCTTGGGGCTGTGCTATCAGGCTCTCCTCTGATCTGGATGGAAGGTGGCTCCGGCGGAGAACGGGTCAGGTTAGAGCCTGAGAGCCCAAGACAGATTTACAAGAGCCTCGCCCTGGCCTCGGCCCTAGAGGCTTCCTTCCCACAGTACTGTCCTTGCTTCCCCCCGGCCCCGTGAGCACTCACTCACCTGCCCGGGCTCTCCGTCTTGGCCCAGGTCTGGGTGCTGAAGTTGCCATGACTGACCTGCTTTTCGATCAGGTGCTCCATCCGGTCATGCATCTCTAGATTCTGAAATACAAGTTGCGGGGTCAGACTTGGCCATTTTTGGGCTTGCACGTGTGACGTCTAACTAGATCATTCTGGTCTCTCCACCTATTTGCACTGTTGCCGCGGCCCGACCACACGTACCCTCCCCGCCCCCACCTTCACCGCCCGGATCGCCTGCAGGTCCCAGTCCTGCCTCCTCCCACAGGGACTGTGTGCTGCACCGACGGTCCCCTGCTGTCCCCTCCACACGCTTCCTGTACACAGTCTCTTGTAGTCCACTGAGATAGTCACCTGCCTTGGTCCATACTCTTTTATATAAGATATCCTTAGGTCTTCATTTTTCCCCTAATGATGTATAGCTGACACATAGGCCACCTTAGTTTTAGGTGTAAACCACAGAGATTTCCCAGCCCTATGTGTTCCATCCTGGGTGTCACACAAGGCCATCCCCGTAACATGGACTATATTCCTTAGGCTATAAGGTCTTTTGTTTTCTTTTTTTAAAACATATTTTATCTCTAAATCTAAAGTGCAAATTCTGGAGAGAAACAACCCAGCCTCCCGTTTCTTTCTATCTCCCCCACTGCACACACAGGTCTTCACACGGTGCCTGGAAAGCAGTTTTTGGGGGTCGGTGGAAGGGTGGAAATTAGATGCAGAACTTGGGAGCTGATCAAGGCCTTCACCCTAGGCACGGAGAGGACCCCCCCCACGGAGGCCGCCTCCTTCATGGTCCAGCTCTGCTGGCAGCCCCTCCGCTCGGCCTTGGGCACGGGGCTCACGCCGTGCTGATGTGTCCCTCTGGAGGAGGCACAGGCTTGCACTGGACTCGGCGGAACTGAACGCCAGCAGTCTTCCAATGTGCACGTCCGAGCGGCAGCCAGACAGGAGGAAGACCCCCGGGATCCCTCCCTCCCTTGGTGCGGTCCTGTCTCCAAGGGCCTGCCCCCTTCCCAGGGCTGCTCAGGGCATGCACCTCTGCCTCCAGGTAGGCAATTTTCTCCTTGAGCTCCTGGATGGTGTTGTCCTTTGACTGGACCACAGCTTTTGAATTCTGGAGCTGCAAAGATGGGGGGACAACAGGGCTCATTTTGAAATGACTCCGTGCACATGCATCGAACTTCGCCCTGCTAGGTGAGCCAGCAGACGCAAGGCCGACTTCTGCAACCCTCCCATGACTTGCTTAGCTTGCTTTCTTTTTATTTTTAATGTTTATTTTTGAGAGAGAGAGAGCAGAAGCAGGGGAGGGGCAAAGAGGGAGAGGAATAGAGAATCTGAAATGGGCTCGGCACCAATAGCAGAGAGCCCGATGTGGGGCTAGAACTTGCGAACTGCAAAGACCATGACCCGAGCTGAAGTCGGACGCTTAACCAACTGAGCCATCCAGGTGCTGCCTGCTTTTCTATAAAAGCCTCATTTCAGTCAATATTGAGCTCTTGATTACCCCAGGTGTGTGTGGGGGGAGTGAGAAGAACACCATTTTGATGATCCAAAATCATAAAGGACTCAAAACCCATTCCGTTTGATGTTGGCAAATACAAATTATTTATTCATTCAAGTTATATTTTTGGGCACCTAGGTGGTTCAGTCGGTTAAGCGTCTGACTCTTGATCTCAGCTCAGGTCTTGATCTCAGGGCTGTGAGTTCAAGCCCTGTGTTGGGCTCCGCACTGGGCGTGAAGCCTACTTAAAAACATTTTTTTTTGAGGGCTTACCACGTGACAGGCTCTGTTTTAGACACTGGGAAAGAGTAATGGACTAGCCAGGAAAACCCCGGCCCTCATAGAGCTGACATGCAACAATTATGTCCACCCAGTTAGGGGGTTTTAAGTCCTCAAACAGTTCTGCAAAAAATGGCATGTCCTGGACTCTGCTACCCTAAAACTGAGGTAGAGGAAGGCAGGAAATCTGCCGCGAGGTACAAAGGTGGAGAAGCCACACACAGATAAGTGAGTCTACCGTGACCTTACTTTTTATTTACCAGCTCTCTTCAAAGCATAAGAGAGACAAGCCTCTTCTTTTTTCCCCATTGGAAAGCAGAAGGCAAATGGCCAAGAACGAGGGGAATGATGTGAGAAGAGCGAATCCCAATCGCCCAGACCTAGTGGTCGGCAGCCGTGAACGTTTTATAGGAGCTTTGGGAACAGAGGCCAAGCTCCCTGGGAAAGTGAGCGGCAAAAGCATGGACAGGAGTGAGGGCTGGGCTCGACGTGGTGACTTTCCGGGGGCAGCTGGCCCTGCTCACCTGCTCTATCATCTGCCGGACTTTCCGCTGCTGGCTCTTCAGCATGTCGTCCAAGTGGTGGATCTTCTCCCGCAACCCAGCCACCTCCTTCTCCAGGTGAGCCGCCCTAGGCATCAAGACCAGAAGCTGAGGCAAAGGGAGAGGATGCTTTCTCTCTACCCAGTCACAGGAAGCACCGTAGGCCTGAGCGCTTACGTGAACCGGACCCCTGCTGCCCGACTCCCCAGTGGTCTGCCCGGAGGAGGAGATGCTGGGACAGCATGGAACAGCACAGCAGAAGCACCACAAGAGATCAGCTACCAGGCTCAGCAAGGGGAAGTTACACAGGAAAGCTCCAGACGGCACAACTAGACCCGCGAGGAAGCAGTCCTCACGCTAACACAGGACGGACTTTCTCAGCATGGAAGTGCCAGAAAGTGCGCTGCCTCGTGTGTGATGAGCCCCTTGTTCCTGGAAAGATTCAGGTGGGAGCCGGGAATGTGATACCTAATGCCATCAAGCTGTTGGAAAGGGCTTGAGGTCAAGAGAGAGATAAGATTTAAGGGTCCTAAAAGCCCCTTCACAGAAGTAAGTGTGTTCCCAAGTCCCTGATTCCCAGGCAGCGCTATTTCCTCCACCTCTTCCAAACTGGCCCAAGATGCCAGGGGTCAGGCAGCTGGGCAGGGTGTCTAGGAGTTCAGACCTCTGAGGGGGTGGGTACCATACACTCCGAGCCTCCCCCAATGTCCTCCCTCGAACAATCGAAGAGTTCACATCAGCCCTCCGGCCCTGTTTCTCAGGCTCCTTCTGTCGACAAAATCAGCCTTTACGATGCATAGCTATTGCTGCCATTCCCAAACCTCCGTTTTGGATTATCTGGGTCTTTTTTTCCTGGCTGCTTCCTCTCTGCTGCCTGCCACAAGCATCACGGAGAAAAGACGGAGCGCGGAGTCACTGAGAGCAATTCTATGAAGTCGAGCACAAAAGGAGGCGACCACAAAGCATCTGCACTTCCCACGCCTAGACTAGTTACCCTAGAGCTTACTCCGGAGGAGAGGAGACGCCCCCAGCTGGTGGAGGGGCCCAAGGAGGCGAGGGTCCTGTTTTCACAGACCTGGGGTTCCTGAGTAGGCGTCCCTGTGATGGCTGTTGGACTTATGAGGATCCAACTCGTACCATGGAGAACAGACCCGACGTGCTGGCACTAACTTTGAGATCTTAACTGCCAGCAACATCCAGAGTTTTCCAATTCTTGAAGGTCCAGAACGACCCAGTCTGCGCTCTATCCTGTTTCACTGGCCTGGGGCCTCGGATTTGTGATCAGAGGGAATCTGTAAAACCCTCTAACTTGGGAGTGGAAGGACCCCGGAGACCCCACCAGCCACTGCTCACGGGTGGATTTCGGCGTGAGCGGCCTCAAGTGACAGAATGCTCAGCCAATTCACGAGGCTGCTCGCTGTGTTTCTCAATGGAATGCTGAGTGAGGAAGTTTTTTGACTTTTCCCTCCAATAACGTCCCCTCATCCCTGTCCTGGGGGGAGGGAGCCGTGGGGCAGTGACCCCAAGTCCACATCCAGGGAGAGAACCAGTGGAATAAGGCGCCACGGGGCGCAGCAGGCACCAGACCAGCTCTCACTCGCCCTTGGCTCGGACACCATGAAAGCATGTTCTTTGGTTCTGACTCTATGGAAAAGGAGCTCCCCAGAGGTGGCAGGCTCCCCGGCAGCAGCGCCCTGGGTGGGGCCCTACCCTGAGCAGCCGCACCATGACTCACAGAGGGAAGGCCTGACATCAGCTCCACTTTCCTCCCTGGCTCTGGCTGCGGCTCTGGCTGCGGCCCACCCTCCGCCGCCTGCACCCCCACTTCGCGGTGAACTCGGGCCCTTACTTTTCTCGTTCTGTTTGGCAATCAGTGCTCTTGATCTGAAGCTCCTCCAAGGCCATCTCCCCTTCCCTCAGCTTCACCAGTAAGGCTTGGTGCTCCTGGATGGGCCGAGGGAAGAAAATGTAGGCTGAGTTCACGGCAGCGGTTTCTGTGTTTGGGCGAGAGGGGCCCGAGGACTCGGGCTCAACACCCGCCGGGCCTGGACAGTTTCCAAGGAGCAGCAAGCCAAGCTGGTTTGATGGGGTGCCCTCCCCTGTCAGGAGAACCCTTCCCTCCCTCTGCGCACGGAAACTTCCCAGCCCCGCCCAGCTGCCCGGACAGGGAGCCTGTGGCCTCTGTCAGCTGGGCGCACCCACCGGCTGTGGCCGCTGGTCCCCAGTACACCAGGCCCCATGGCTCCTTAACAACAGTCTTCAAAAGCCCATAAAGGGCAGCTGTACAGAAGCCCACTGAAATGGAAATGGGTTCAACTCTCGTCAGCTGGGGCTGAGTCTTGCTCCTTAAAGGCTGAAAGGTTCTTGAAGGTACTTGCTGAGGAAACCATGAAGTGCGCTTTTCTGGAGCCAGTTGGTCAGAAAAGCAGAGTGCGCCCGCAGCCATCAATCCCGGGAGCGGCCCCTATGCCCAGCCCAGGAGAGGACTCCCATGGGTCACCTCCTGCATTCCGAGCAAGCGTTTCTGCAGCTCTCCAACATCCGCCTCCTTTTGCTGTGCTCTGTCCTCCGCTCTCTGAAGGGCCACTTGGCTCTGTTCTGCTTCTCTCTGGTACTGGCTGAGTGTGACCTAGGGCAGGATGGGGACGGAGGAAGGGGGTGGAGGAGAAAGGGCAAACATGGGTAAAAAACCTTGGGAGAGAACCCAGGACGCTGGGCGTGGTGATAGTCACAAAACAGAGCCAACCTACCCAGTGGTGGGAACGACCCAAGGAGCACCTCCCCTGCAGCAGGTGCTACGGACCAAGGGCATCCCCCTTCTAAGAAACCGTGGGCAGGGGGCTGCAGCTGTTGGCACTTTCTGGCCTCGGGCTTTTACTCAGGACACTTTTCCGTTCAAGCTTTGAAACCCAGAGCTAACAGACCGTTCCACGTATGGTCACGACCAACAAGTACTTCACAATGGCTCTCAGTGTAGAAATTTCTTTCCAAAATCCATAGTCTGGTGGGTGCTACAGCCTCGATGCCCCCTCCCTCCTGCTGTGCACCAAGAGGGTAGGGAACAACTGGCTGCCAAACCAGTACGTCATCCAACAAATCATCCAAAGTGTGGAATCTGAAATGGATGCCGTGAACTCCTCTACCGCACTGCCACTTGGTTCTGGGACCAAACTAACCTCAGCACGTCCCTGGGGTCCCGACCATTTAGGATAGAAAACCCACATCCTAAATTGATCACTGAGAAAAATACAGGGGATCTTACATTTCTAAAACCCTTCGGAGTAACAAATATACTTATGTATCTTACCGCGCTCAATCCACACACCACACTGGTGAGACATCTCTACTGCCCCCTTTTTACAAAAGTTGGAACCGATACTTAGGGAGGTTAAATTAATGGCTCAAATAACTGATCGTCTCTAAAGGCAATTGATCATCCCCTGTGCCTTCCTCCTCCCTCTCAATATCTCTCTCAAAAATTCTCTTAGTCCCATGAAAGAGAAGCGTTCAGGCTGGCCTTCCTCCCACCACCGGCTCCTGGCAGGCCTGGGCAGGGCATAATCCTATCATTCCATATTTATGATATAGAAATACTTTACATGTAGATGAACAAGAGCAGATAATAACAGTTGGTTAATCTTACACAGAAGCCTAGTGTTTGCCCACTGTACCTCATTTTATACTCAAAGAATTTTCTGGAAAGTATGGAAGACCTCACACACTTTGATTTATTTATTTATTTATTTATTTATTTACTTTTTATTTTTTTGAGAGAGTGAGCAAGCACACAGCAGGGGAGGGGCAAAGAGAGAGGGAGAGAGAGAATCTTATGCAGGCTCCATGCTCAGCACAGAGCCTGATGTATGGCTTGACCTCACCACTGTAAGACTGTGACCTAAGCCAAAATCAAGAGTCGGATGCTTAACTGATTGAGCCACCCAGGTTCCCCTTCTCACACTCTTTTAATAGTGGAGATCTTTCACTCTCCACAGACTTCTGTACTTTTTAAATCTTCCATCATAATAATTTAGTATTACTTTCGTAACCATAATTGAGATACTCGTTCAATATCACAAAGCTCTCACAAAGTCAAGACTTCAAGTCCTCTGACTCCACGGGCACAGATCTTTCTACAACTACACTGTTCCACCTGCTCATCTGTTCCACACTTTCTTAAAAAATTTTTTTATGTTTATTTATTATCGGGACAGAAACAGAGCATGAGTGGGGGAGGGGCAGAGAGAGGGAGATACAGAATCCGAAGCAGGCTCCAGGCTCTGAGCTGTCAGCGCACAGCCCGACACGGGGCCCGAACCCACAGACCGCAAGATCATGACCTGAGCTGAAGTTGGACGCCCAACCGACTGAGCCACCCAGGCGCCCCTCATCCAGTCCACACTTAAGTACCCACCACCTTACACTGGACATGAGGATGCAGTGTGACCTTGACCACAACAGTCCTTGCCCACATGGTGCCTGGGGCCCAGGAATTCTTACTGTGGCCCTTAGAGAAACGACTGAGTTTCCTGTTACCCCAGACCAACTCCACCACCCAACTTCAACAGAGAACCAGTGCCCAGCCTAGAAGAGCAAACACCATGAATGTCCAGGGATGGGAAAAACAGACAGGGGAGTGACCAGGCCTCAAAGCCTCACCTTTCCCATGGACGGCACCCAGCCAGAAACACATAAGGCCCTGGCTAAGTCACCGGCACTTGTATCTAGCAGCTCAACCCTTGGGGCACCTTCTCCCCAAACCCCAAATCTCACCTCAAAAGCCACACGGTCTGACTGGTGTCGCCGCTCAGCCTCCTGCAGCTTGACAAGCAGGTCCTGCACAGTCTTCCTCAGGCTCTCAACATCTTCATTCACACAGGGGTCTACCTGCAGTCACAATGGGGAAGACAAGGTGAGCCACCGTGTCTGTGTAAGAGAAGGTCCCCACGGCACATACTGGGGCACAGACTAGCCTCCTATCACTCACTCAAAGGAGAGTCAGTCTTAGCCACCTGGGGGGTTGGGAGTTGCTCACACAAAAATGCTCTCTCCATGTCCTAAGGAACTCAAGTAGCCTCAAATCATCTGACGATTTTAGACACACTCAGTACTTTCGATGCATGTATCAACTGATTAACAGGAATCCTCACATGCTTGGCCTGCTTCCAGCAGACCAGAGCTCTCAAAGTAGGGACCTCCGCCCCCTTTAGACTACAGCACCCCAGGCAGGGACTGCACCACACCCATCACAAGGGGCACTTCCCAAAGGCACCTCTTTTGCTCTTCTCTGCATCTGGCTCGGAGATTAGCACATACCGGTCACTGACGAGAGCGCAGGTTTAGAGCAAGAACGCCCAGTGAGCCCAGAATCCCATTCCAAGTGGGAAACGGCTGCCACTGAGTCTCTCCCCGGACACACCCAGTTGTGGGCTGGTGGCTGGCGCTGAGCTGGCATGTGGGGTCTTGCCCCCACCTCTGCTGCACAGGCGCCAGGAAAACTCTCTGCCTGCCTCACACAGTGGGAGGTAGAGACACCTGTAAACCCAGGCACGGAGCTCGCAGCCGGGAGGGGGTGACAGCGTCCCAGCCCCTGTAAACCTGGGCATGGAGCTCTCAGCTGGGAGGGGTGACAGGGTCCTAGGGGCTGTGCTATCACTGAGTCCGGGGGGGGGGCCTTCATTTCTCTGTGCAGCAGGAGAAGACTCCTCACCAGGACCACGCCCGGCCTTACAGGCTGCCTCAAAAAAACGACAATATCCGCTGGGCTTAGAGCTTGTGAGAAGAAGGAGTTGAACAAACAGTCCCAGGTGTTATTATGACCCAGTGCCAGAGCATATCTGCCAAGTATGGTGATTCAGGAGAAGGGAAAAGATCCAAACTGCACCTCTAACGTGAGCAGCTAGCATCACAACACGCCAAAGCCTAGCCATCAAGTTATCCAGTCAACAACCCTGTCTGTCCCTGAGCTGCTGGGCAGGGGAGAGAGATTTCAAAGGCTCCTGGCAACATCACTACTATGTGTTTATTTCAGATGCCGCTCTTAGAAGACTATTTAACGACATGGAAAATGTTCACGGTGTGGTGTGAAGATAAAAAAGGCAGTTATTAAAACTAGTAGAAGTTAGAAGCCCAATAGATTTAAACACAATGTGGATAGACCCAAGGAACATGGTGTTGGCCTAAAAGGGAAAAGATAAAGTATAGCACAAATCCATTATGAAAACTGAAGACACACTTACAGGATTATTGAAATCATACACCGAATATATTAGAGTTGGGGAGGGGAGAGGCAAAGAAAACCAAAACAAAACATGAGGGGCCTTTATGAGATCAGAGATGATAATGTATCCTGGATTTTAAGACATTACGTAGAAAATATAAAATCTTTAAAAAAAACAAGAAAGAAAAATACACTAGAACATTGGCACTCAGCTTTGGCTAAATATTAGAATCACTTGAAGGGTTTTTATTGTTGTTGTTGTTAAGTACTTTCCATACCCAATGTGGGGCTCGAACTCACAACTCTGAGATGAAAAGTTACCTGCTCTACCCACTGAACCAGCCAGCTGCCCCCTGAAGAGATTTCCAAAGTCCTGATGACCAGCCCACATATCGGGTCAATTAAATTACAATCTCTAGGGCGGGTACCAGCCTTGTCTCCTTCAAAACTCCCAAGGCCGGGGTGCCCTGCTGGCTCAGTCGGTTAGGCATCCAACTTTGGCTTAGGTCATGATTTTATGGTTTATGAGTTTAAGCCCCATGTCGGGCTCTGTGCTGACAGCGTGGAGCCAGCTTTGGATCCCATCCCAATCCCTCTCTCTGCCCCTCCTCCACTTGTTCTCTCTCTCTCAGAATAAATAAATAAACTTAATAAAAACAAATAAAAAAAAAAGCTTGCAAGCCCATTTCAATCAGCAGTGAAGGCTAAGAGTACCGCTCTAAAAGAATCCATCCACTTCAACCTGTTAACAGGGATCCTTTGACGGAGGATTGGAGAAGGAAGAAATGTTTTTTTATAGTTTATTTATTTTTGAGACAGAGAGAGACAGAGCACGAGCGGGGGAGGGTCAGAGAGAGAGGGAGACACAGAATCCGAAACAGGCTTCAGGCTCTGAGTTGTCAGCACAGAGCTCGACGTGGGGCTCGAACCCACGAACCATGAGATCATGACCTGAGCCAAAGTCGGACGCTCAACTGACTGAGCCACCCAGGCGCCCCTAGGAAGAAATTGATTTGTGTGTTTCCAGTACTCCTCTATTTAGTACGACAGAAAGAACACTAATTAAGGCATCAGGGAGGACGATAGCCTGCCTCGTGGCCAAGACGCAGTGGCCGCTGTTTCCCAGTTACCCCCTTACTCACCTCGGGTGGGCTGCTGTACAGGCCCGTGGGGCTTGGATTTAATCCGTTTGGCTTTTCCAGCACCACCTGTTCAAAGAAAAATAAAATCGGTAGCACAAACAGCCCAAACAACCAACTTTGAAACATCAATTTCCTAAGATCTCCAACCTTTGGAAAAAAGAGGCGGGGTAGAGAAAGAAGGAAGAAGAGAAGGAAGAGGTGATGGAAGAGAAAGAAGAGAAGGCAGGCAGGAGAAAAGGAAGGCAGGAAGGGAAACGCGACTTCAAGTGCTCTGTGGCAAGTGGAGAGGAGAGGCGTTGAGAGGCCTGTGTGGCCGCGGAGGGGGGATGAAGGGAGCCTCAGGCTGACAGCTTGCGGCTGACGGGAGTGCGTGCAGGCCGGCCCCTGCAGGCCCAAGAGATTCAGGGAGTGCCTGCCACCCACACGGAGTCTCCCGGCCTCCGTGGGGATCCTGACAAGGTCTGACAAAGCATCAAGCAACAGGTGACGCGGCATTTGCTGCCCTTCTTTCCAACCCAAAGCCCAATGATGCATCACGCGGCTGCTGGCTGTGCAAACAGGGCCCTGGAGGCTTGGGCCAGGCTCCGAGCACCTCGGGTTCTGACCCACCTGACCAGGCGCCTCCCAATAGCCGGAGGCAAGCTCGGGCCGTGGGGAGGGCAGGGGGGTCCCACCTTCAGCCACAGCAAACTGAATCAAGGGGACTCACCACACAAGCCTAGCGCACGCTCACGCCAAAGAGGGACAGGGACGCTGCTGCCACTAGCTGGTCTTTGTTTCCCTCGGGAGGGGGCGGGGATGAAGGTGGGGGCTGTGGGAGAAACCCCCCCCCACTCCAACCAAATGCAAGTGAAGGAGTCAGGACTCTGAATCTAAAGGAGGACAAAGGTGAAATGGAAGAGACGGGTCTGTCCTGAGGACACTTCCAGCCTCCAATTTTAGAAAAGCTGAAAGCAGGATCCCAGGTTTATCCATCCATTTCAGGTGCTTTCCAGTAGGTTCAGTGTGACATTTCCTGATGACCTTCTGCATCCCAGACCCCATGCTGTGTGTGGGGACCCTGACACAAGGGTGGGGGGAACCCTCAAGTCCAGGAGCTCCCGATGCCAGGGTGAAGATGGCTACTTACACAAATAACAGACCAGGACTGAGAGCTTCCAATTCCCAGCATGGGCGTCACCCCAATTACACAAGGCCAGCTTGGGAGAAGTTTGGATTTATAGCTAACTGTCTGCTCTACAAGGCACTGCAAAAATACTGATCACAGGCGAGCGCCTGGGTGGCTCTGTCGGTTGGGAGTCTGACTTCGGCTCAGGTCATGATCTCACGGTTTGTGGGTTCGAGCCACTTGTTGGTCTCTGTGCTGACAGCTTGACCCTGGAGCCTGCTTTGGATTCTGTGTCTCCCTCTCTGTCTGCCCCTCCCCTGCTCATGCTCTGTCTCTCTGGCTCTCTCTCTCTCTCTCTCAAAAATAAATGAATGTTAAAAAAAATTAAAACAAACTGATCACCGAATCCTTCCAGAGAAGAGGTTTTGCCATAACAGTAGTTGAACTTGCATAAATTCCACTTTGTGCACAGTGTTGGGGACAAAGGCACCTTGCACGTGGGCTGGCACGTGTGGACGCCGGTGCCCAGCTGCTGACGAGCCCTCATGCGGTCGCGAGCACTCCGAGATGCCAGCACTGCCTTGCTCTCCTTTCCTGGCCCTGCTGGGAGACTCGGCCGCCGCCGCGTGACCGGCGAGGGGACTGCCCAGAACAGCCTGCTGGGCAAGGACCACTGGCTGTCACCTGTATCTCCTGTCCGTGGATGGGGTCCCCTGGACGTCTGTCAAGCTGGCTGCTTATGTCTTCCCGCAGCCTCTGTAGGCAGTTCCGGGCCTGGAAGGGGAGGCGGGAACCTTAGCGCCTCAGCAAGGAAAGAGAGCATCCCACTCGCCCAGGCCTGTGCCCATCGCTGACCCTTGCTCCTGTGGCACAGCCCCCCCTACGTGCAGGAAAAGCCCTGTCCTGCCAGAGCTGACATGCTTGCTGCAGAGACACACGATGCCAAAGGCCACCAAGGGAAACGTGTGATGTATCACACGGTGACAAGTGCCAGGAGCAGCAGCAGCCAGCGTGAGGGCTGGGAAGAGGTGGGGGAACGAGACTGTGGTTATAGAGGGTGCCTGGGTACAGAGCATACAGGGGGCACATAGTAGGTGATAAGTATTTGCTGATGAATGGATTGGTTGAGTCATGGGAGGGTCAGAGATGGTATCAGACTCAGGAGGGTTTGGTGGCACCTCGGGTGTGAAGGGAGCAGATGGGAGAGGACCAGGCCCCACCAAAGAAGGTAGCCAAACGATCGGAGCTTCCCGCCGAGGGGGAGGCGCCCACCTCTTGGATGTACTGCACCTCGCTCTTCAGCTGGTTGATACTCTTCTCGTGGATCATCTTATCTGCGGTCCTCCCCTTCAGGTACACCTGCAGCAGGAGGAACACCACCACCGAGTTAGGAAACCCATTACGTCCACTCCACGTAGGCAGGCCCGGTCTGCTGCTGGCAGGGTGGTAAAACGCCGCCGCCTTCTGGGTGGCACTTCGAGGATTCAGACCAGAAGGCTTAGAACTCTGCTTCCTCTCTGATCTATCGAACCTACTTCTGGAAATTTCTCTTAATGAAATAAATTTAGCCAAATGACATAAGCACTCACATATACACGTAAATTCATGCACAGGGGGGCAACAGTCATGCACAGGGGGTTGTTAACAAGGGATTTACACATTTTTCTCTATACATACTTGAATCTTTTACAATCAAGAATGTATTTATTCGGGCACCTGGGTGGCTCAGTCGGTTAACCGCCGGCTCAGGTCAGGATCTCACGGTTATGAAGGCAAGCCCCACATCGGGCTTCTTCCTGACAGCATGGGGGTCCCCCTGGAGTCCTCTCTCTCCCTCTCTCCCTGCCCTTCCTTCCGCTCACATGTGCACGTGTGCTCACACGTGAACAATCGCGCTCTCTCTCAAACTTTAAAAAAAAGCTTAAAAACATTACCTATATTGTAAAACACATAATTTAGTAAAGGATGTTCAGCAAAATATTGTTTATGACTGCAAATGGAAACAGGCATAATGACCAAAAATGAGGGATGGCTTCCAAAAATTATGGTACGTCTCTAACAGAATACTACGCGGTCCTGAGAGTACCAGACATTTACACTCATGGACGTGGAAGATTTATAAACCAACATTAAAGTGGGGGGGGGGGGCAAGAGAACTGTAGAATAGAGGGTACATAATCCAATTTAATTTTTGAAAAAATACGTAAGTGTAGGAAAATGTCTGAGAGGATACACAATAAAGTATTAACAACAATGATTACATTGATAGAATAGTAGGGTACTTTTGCTTTCTTTTTTTTTTAATTCTTTTTTAATGTTTTATTTATTTCTGAGAGAGAGAGAGACAGCATGAGCAGGAGAGAGTCAGAGAGAGGGGGAAATACAGAATCTGAAACAGGCTCCAGGCTCTGAGCTAGCTGTCAGCACAGAGCCTGACACGGGGTTCGAACCCACGAACCATGAGATCATGACCTGAGCCGAAGTCGAATGCTCAACTGACTGAGCCACCCAGGCACCCCTAGGTTTGCTTTCTTTAAGGGCCATGCAATGACTTTGAGTAAGAAACAGAAAGTAATTAAAGGCATCTCGATTGAAAAGAGGAAAAAACGATCTCTGTTTGCAGAAGTAATCACGTATACAGAAATACCCCAAGGAAGCCACTAAAAAATTATTAGAGGTTGTAGCAAGGTTGTAGGTTACAAGATCAATACACAAATAACAGTTGTATTTCTATACACTACTAATGAACAACCCCAAATGAAATTTGAAAAAAATCCTAAGGGTGCCTGCGTTGCTCAGTCAGTTAAGCGTCTGACTTCGGCTCAGGTCATGATCTCGTAGTTTGTGAGTTTGAGCCATGTGAGTTCTGAACTGTCAGCTCAAAGCCTGGAGCATGCTTTGGATTCTGTGTCTCCCTCTCTCTCTGCCCCTCCCCCATGCACACTCTGTCTCTCTCTCTCAAAAATAAATAAATATTTAAAAAAAATTTTTAAATTCTAATTACAATAGCAACAGAAAGAAAAACACTTAGAAATAAATTTAACAGGGGCGCCTGGGTGGCTCAGTGGATTAAGCGTCTGACTTTGGCTCAGGTCATGATCTCTCTGTTCATGGGTTCAAGCCCCGTGTGGGGCTCTGTGCTGACAGCTCAGGGACTGGAGCCTGCTTCAAATTCTGCATCTCCCTCTCTCTCTGCCCCTTCCCCGCTCATGCTCTCTCTCAAAAATAAACATTAAAAATTTTTTTAAAAAGAAGAGTTAATTCTTTTGGACTATTTACTGGTATTTTAAAATTGAAATATAGGAGCACCTGGGTGGCTCAGTCGGTTGAGCGTATGACTTCAGCTCAGTTCATGATTATGAGTTTGGCCCCGCATGAGGCTAGCTACCATCAGCACAGAGCCCAATTCAGTCCCCCTCTCACTCTACCCCTCCCCTGCTTACACTCTCTGTCTCAAAAATAAATAAACATTAAAAAATTTTAAAAAAATGTAAATATAGTAAAAATAACACCACAGAGAAAGTGTGGTCACATTCATCCGTTATACCTACATATAAACTCTTAAAACACAATTGATTGAGCCTGACGCAAGGCTCAATCTCACAAACCATGAGATCACTGCCTAAGGTGAAATCAGGAGTCGGGCGCTTAACTGACTGAGCCACCCAGGCACCCCTCAAAGAGCTGTTTTTAAAAAAGGAAATAACGTGCATTCTTTTATTAAAAAAAAAAAAAAGCTCCATGAACACACCTCCCACCCGATTCCACAACCTCGAGCAGCTAAATGTTGCTAGTGGGATGGGGCACCTAGAAAGGGCATCTCATCCGTCTACCTGCACCAAAGTCACGACAGACTGTGGTCTTCCTCTCTCCAGGGAACGGGCAGGAACTAGCATCACAGGTCGGGTTCTTCCAAGTCAAACCACAATCTCCCTGTGGCCAAGTCAGCGTCTGCCTCTCCCGTGCTTGGAAGGAGAAAGAGAGGAGAGAGGGCGGGCGGAGGCGAGCTAAGCTTACCTTGATGATCTCCTCGTGTCCATCATTGGACTCCACCAGTTCTGACGCCAACGAATGACTGGTTGAGCGGCCAGATACCATGGCAAAGGTCCTCCTACCCGCCTGTCGGGGGGGGGGGGGGATGGCTCAGAAATCATGACAAGCCCAGAACTTCTGTCCCTTGACCACTGCAGAGCACCTGCTCCTCGAGAGATGTAAAGGGTTAGTTTGATTTTCCCTCCAAAAATTCATGTCAACCTCTACCAGAAGCCACACAGCAGCAACACCGGATGGGAGATTAGCAGAAACTGCAGGTTAGTTTTCCTTTTAGTGGGGCCTCCCCGCCTCCAAAGCAGTGCACAGGCTGAGGCCAGGTGTGTGTGGCCCTGGGCAGTGGCAGGGACGGCCCCAGAAAGCACCGGCACGAGGAGTCAGCAGCAAGAAGGGACAGCTGGCTGAGGGGAAGGGGCCTCGCCCCCGCAGAAACCTCGATACCTGCTGGGCTATGTGTTCAAGTTCGTCTCCTGTCAGTTCACTCTGCAGAGTCAGCCTGAGAATGTCTGCGCTTCCCTGATAATGACAATTACAGCGACAGTCACCCCTTGCCTTTACAGTTGGCCTTGTGACCATCATTTAACAACCAAGGAGAGCTGACGTCTGAAGAGGGGACAGTGGCTTGCCTAACGCCCGTCGCTCCTGCGTTGCAGGTCTCTGGATCCGCTGACAGTGCTCTGCACACCAGCGGCCACGCAGCAGGCTGCTCTATGTAGCTCCAGAGAGGCTGGCTGCCCTGGTCCCCACATCACAGCAGGCACATTGCATGGATTCCCCTTCCCCAGCCTTGAAGAGGGCATCCCTGGATGCCCCCATAACCGGTCCAGGGTGCTTGCACCTGACAGGCAACCAGCAGTTATTGATGCACTTCACGAGGTTAGGACATCCTTCCCGAACCAAACCACAGGCCGGTACCTGAATCCAAACCCCTGCTTCCATAAGGCCTACAGAAATTACCCAAATGAAAGAAGGCAAGGCAATAGGTACTTACATATAGATGAGCCTAATTTTGAAGGAAGAAGCACATTTTCTTTCCTAACTCAAAGAAGGTTTAAAAAATACACTGTGAGGGGCGCCTGGGTGGTTCAGTCAGTTGAGCATTCGACTTTGGCTCAGGCCATGATCTCACAGTTCATGGGTCTGAGCCCTGCATCAGGCTCTGTGCTGACAGCTCAGAGCCTGGAGCCTGCTTTGGATTCTGTGTCTCCCCTTCTCTCTGCCCCTCTCCCGCTCATGCTCTGTCTCTCTCGCTCTCAAAAATAAACATTAAAAAGTTTTTTTAATTAAACAAATAAGAAATATGCTGTGAAACACACAGACACATACATACACAGACAGACAGACACAAACACACACACAGAGTGGAGAAAATAGAACACATTGAGGGAGAAATCATATGGTAAAAGGAAAAGTGGGGGCTGGAGATCTGGAGAGATAACAACATTGAGAGAAGGTCATCGAGGCAGAGAGCACCAAACCCTGCCTATAACCTGTGTCAGGTGTAGAGCTGGACACAAGCTTTAGCTACACTGGGCTCCTGGCTTGTACCAGAAAAATCATGGGCTGTACTAAGTATCTCTAAGGCTCCTTCTAGCTTTGATCCCATGAGAGCATGAGAAGGGAGTACATGCTCCCCCCAGGCAAGGATGGGAGGTTGGATAAACGTGACTTTGAGTATAAATGCCACCTTACCCTTAACAGGTTTTAAGGAACTCTCCTAATATTCCAAATGTCTGATAGAAGGGAAGGAGGAAGGAAGAATGTGCCCCACCCAGGGAGTTTGGGGAAGATTCTCTGGGCAGGGAACAGTCCTTCCTAAACAAGGAAAAGAAACCAGTTTCTGTGACCAGATACTTAACTCTCAATGATCGCCCTGTAAAATGGCGACACTACCATGCAGACACAGGCGGTTTCCGTTGAAGATAAACAGAAAGGGTGTGGAGGCCTCTGCCACATAAAAGAGAGGGACTCAAATATTAGCCTCCTCCCACTTCTTGGAATGAACCCAAATTTAGGACAGATGGAAGACACGCCCACACGGCCCTTCATCCTTCCTAACCCTGGCAAGGTAGCTGGTTTTACAAAAACACTTAATTCCTACCAAATATAAGCCAGATCCTCAGTGGGGGCATTCAGACCCTCCAGAGTCTGGGTCAACCCACTTCTGTCACTGCTCCTCACTGTCCCCCATCCAATACCTCCCAGGCTTTCCCACCTCAGCAACTTTGCACCATTTCCTCTGCCTTAAATGTCCTTTCCTCCCATTGGGCATCTGCAGGGCCCTCAGAAGTTCACATTCAAAGGCCACATTTTTCATGACACTTCCCTACATACTGTGGGAAACATCCCCTCCCCTCCTTGAGCTCCCTTGGCATCATGGGGCCTCCTACGGCACTTGCCTCTCAGTGACCTCCATTCCATGAGGATGGGGGTGGTGCCACAGCCCTCTATACGGGCAGGCATTTTCTGAATGCGTACTTGTGCTCCATGTGACATTTGGGTCATCTGGGTCAAGAGAACATTACGCAAGAAAGAAGAGGAAAGGATTTCATAATAGCCAGAGCAGCTGCCAATGCTTTTCCCCAGGACACAGACATGCACTTTGGTTAAAGCCACATCTTCTTATACCTGGAGGCAGCTGGGAAACGCTGGGGCATCCCTCAGCCAAAACAAAGGAGTTATCAGCCAATGAAGGTCATCAAGTCTAGTTTATTGTAGGGACCCGGGCATTCTAATCGGAAGAGCTGGGACACCCAGGCTAGATCGGGGTCATGAGGGATCATCTCATCCATATATGTCATCAGAACTCCAGACAGACGGGAGAAAGTGGGAAACTTGCAAAAGTACTCAAAGAAATAATGTCTGGAAACTTTCCAAATGTTACAAAAGACATAAACCCACAGATTCAAGGAGCAAATCCCAAACAGGATAAACCCCCAAATCATGCCAAAACATATAATTAAATGTCTGATAACTAAAAACAAAGAGGAAAATCTTTCCAAATCAGGGAAAAATGACACCTTATCTATATGGGGGAAGCAGTGTGATTAAACAGCAGATTTTCATCAGAAGCTAGGAAGGCCAGGAGGAAATGGCACAATATTTTCAAGTGCTGAAAAAACCCTCTTAATCAAGAATTCTATGACCAAAAGAAATTCTCCTTCAGGAATGAGGGAGGAAATCAAGATGTTCTCCTGTAAAGAAAAACTAAGACTTTCTCACCAATATAACTACATTAAAAAGGCTGTAAAAGATCTTTAAAAAGAAAGGAAACACTACAAAGGGAACCTTAGAACATTAGAAAGATAGAAAAAACATGGATAGAAATTCCTAGGTGGCTCAGTCAGTTAAGCATCTGACTCTTGATCTTGGCTCAAATAATGATCTTAGCTCAGGTCAGGATCTCATGACTTGTGAGACTGAGTCCCATGTTGAGCTCTGCTCTGACAGCATGGAGCCTGTTTGGGATTCTCTCTCTGCCCCTCCCCTGCTCGTTTACTCTTTCTCTCTCTCTCTCATAATAAATAAATAAACTTTAAAAACAAAAAGATAAAAAAAAAAACACAACATGGAAAATATCGATAAATACAACAGGCTTTCCCTCTATTCTTGGGTTATCTAAATTACATTTGATGGTTGAAACTAAAATCAGAAAACTGCCTGAGAAATACTTCATTTATGTATTTATTTTTGAGAGAGAGAAAGAGACACCACGTGCACAAGTGGGGGAGTGGCAAAGAAAGAGGGAGACACAGAATCTGAAGCAGGCTTCAGGCTCTGTGCTGTTAGAGCAGAGCCCAACATGGGGACTCAAACTCAATAACTATGAGCTCATGACCTGAGCCAAAGTCAGACACTTAACCGACTGAGCCACCAGGTGCCCCAGAAATATTTATTTATATTATAAATGGGAGAGGATAAATGGATGTAAAGGAAGGTAAGGTATCTATACTTCATTCAAACTAGTGAAATGACAACACTGGTAGACTGTGATAAGTTATATTTATACAAACGTAACACCTAGAGCAATCACTAAAATCTATACAAAGAGATAACATTCAAAAAAACAAACGAATCAAAATGGAATCCTAAAAAGCTTCCTCCCACAGGAAGGCAGAGAAAAACAAAACAGATTAATGAAAAATAGAGAACAAAAACAAAAAATAAAATGGCAGACTTACCATAGAAATAATTGCACTAAATGTAAGTAATCTAAATATACCAAATAAAAAACAGAGATTGACAGAGTTGATTAAAGAGCATGAATCAGGGGAGCCTGGGTGGCTCAGTCAGTTGAGCGTCTGACTCTTTGATTTTGGTTTAGGTCATGATCCCAGGTTTTTGGGATAGAGCCCCACATCAGGCTCTGGGCAGGGCATGGAGCCTGCTTAAGATTTTCATTCTTTCTCTCTTTCTCAAAAAAATTAAAAAAAAAAAGCAGGGGGGCACCTGGGTGGCTCAGTTGGTTAAGTGTCCGACTTCGGCTCAGGTCATGATCCCACGGTTCGTGGGTTTGAGCCCCGCTTTGGGCTCTGTGCCGGCAGCTAGTTCAGAGCCTGGAGCCTGCTTCTGATTCTGTGTCTTCCTCTCTCTCTGACCCTGCCCTGCTCATGCTGTCTCTCTCTCTCTCCCTCTCTCTCCCTCTCTCTATCTCTCTCTCTCAGAAATAAATAAAACATTTTAAAATAAAAATAAATCCATGAATCAATACATGCTGTCTACAAGAAACATATTTAAACATAATTATACAGGCAAGTTAAAAGTAAAAGGATGGGAAAAGATCTATCATACAAACATTATTTAAAGGAAAGCAAGAGTGGCTATATTAATATCAGATAAAGTAAACTTCAGAGCAAAGAGAATTACCAGAGACAGAGAGGGCCATTGTATAATGTAAAAGGGTCAATCCACAAAGAAGACATAGCAACCCCAAATGGATATGCACCAAACAACAAAGCTGCAAAATATGTGGCACAAAAACTAAAGAACTGAGAGTGCCTGGTTGGCTCAGTCGGAAGAGTGTACAACTTTTGATCTCGGGGTTGTGAGTATGAGCCCCACATTAGATGTAGAGATTACTTAAAAATAAAATCGTATTTAAAAAAAAAAAAAAAAACCCGAAGAACTGAAAGGAGAAATCCACAAATATATTTTTTTAATTTTATTATTTGAAAGAGAGAGGGAGAGCGTGCACAAGAGCAGAGGAGAGGGGCAGAGAGAGTGAGAGAGAGTGAGAGAGTGAGAGTGAGAGAGAGGAGAGAGAGAGAGAGAGAGAGAGAGAGAGAGAATCCTAAGCAGGCTCCATTCTCAGTACGGAGCCCAATATGGGGCTTGATCCCACCCTGGGATCATGACCTGAGCTGAAATCAAGAGTCAGACACTCAACTGACTGAGCTACCCAGGCATTCCCCCCTTCCATTTTTATTTTAAAAAATTTTTAAAACAAATCTACAACTATACTTGGAGACTTTTTCAACACCTATCTCTGAGCAATTAATAAAACTAGACAAAAATCC